TACCCAAAGTATTTCAGGATCCTCGCCAGTGCTACAGAGCCTGTGAACTGTGCTGAGCTTCTTTGGACTCAGACTTGAGTTAGAAGAAGAACGGAGCACTTATGGATTACTGCCTGTGTGCCATGATGAAATAAAAGGTTTTTTAAGCCTTGTTGTCAAAATTGTTGAATAGTCTCATAGATAGAGGTAACAATTTCACGACACGAGTTGCCAGATACATATTTGGGAGGGGGGGCTCCAAATATGCTACATTTAATCCTTCATAATGTATGTTCATGTTTATTGAGGTTTGCGGTTTTTAATCAAGTAAGCGACAATACCAGCCCCCTTTGGACCCAACACATCCAATTGCAAACCCTTAATTTGTTGTCTTTACTGGCATGCTTGTAAATGGCCAGATTGTCTATTTTGTCCATTTAAAATGAGTCTTTGGAACTAGCACAGGGAAATTTCGATATGAAGCTCTCTACCTTTTAACTCTTACCAGACCTCTGTAGCCATTTTCGTTAATTTCCTAGTCTTGCCGCTAAACTGTTGTACCTAATTTTTGGTACTTTGCGTACTATGTGAAAAAAATGCATCACAAACTAAAACTAACTAACCAATCATTGTCAGACCTCGAGGTTAGTCATTATAAATGGCTTGCCCCTTGTGGTTAAATTTACTTTGTGTGGTTTAATGTGAACAAATTCTGAAAATTCATAATGAAATGAGCGGCTGATAAAACATTCACTTTGACAGGAAAGTAAAGTAGGTCTAGGCTTTTCACAGCCCAACTGGTGATCGATACGTTGGTTGATTCAGTTTCTGAGGAGTCAGAATTTCATGAACTATGCGTTCCCAAGTTGAAGTGACACTAACAGTGAGAGCTCAAGTGATGAGAAGAATCTTGAACCTTATAGATCTAGAACTAGGTCGATGGTAAGAGAAGGTGGCGTGTCCCCCAAACAGCAACATCTGGTGCTCACTTTGTGAAACAAGGCTGCTCCTGCTGGGTGGATTGGTGGAAAGGTGAATATTGGCACTGGATGAAAGGTAAACCTATTTTTCTACAATGTCTCCAAGTTTCATCTTTTTTTTAACCACTTGTTTGTATGTAACTAATATTTTAGTATATCATGTTGGTTTTCTCGCGTTAATGCCCGGGAGCTCAGGTCTAGGTCACAGTTAGGTTCAGGGCCTCAGGTCTAGGTCACAGTTAGGTTCAGGGCCTCAGGTCTAGGTCACAGTTAGGTTCAGGGCCTCAGGTCTGGGTCACAGTTAGGTTCAGGGCCTCAGGTCTAGGTCACAGTTAGGTTCAGGGCCTCAGGTCTAGGTCACAGTTAGGTTCAGGGCCTCAGGTCTAGGTCACAGTTAGGTTCAGGGCCTCAGGTCTAGGTCACAGTTAGGTTGGGCCTCAGGTCTAGGTCCAGTTCAGGTTCAGGCCTCAGGTCTAGGTCACAGTTAGGTTCAGGGCCTCAGGTCTAGGTCACAGTTAGGTTCAGGGCCTCAGGTCTAGGTCACAGTTAGGTTCAGGGCCTCAGGTCTGGTAGGGTTAAAAGATACACAACTAACCTTCTGTCTGCAGGTTGCAGATTTTGGGCTCATCAAACTGCTTCAGCCGATGAGAGAACAGTGCGAAAACGACGACTGCAGCTGTAAGTTTTCACTGTGAACATTGTCTTTTTCTACTGGACTAGCAGTTGCTGTAATTTGATACTTCATTCTAAATATTTTCTCAAAATTGTTGGTGCTTTATTAATATCCTACCCCAGATGACATCACAGGACAGTCCAACTTTTTAGAGGGTGGTAAGACTGGGTTTCCCGGCTTTCTGATACTTTTAATGACCCCAAAACATCTAGAACTGGCCCTAACCCCAACCCACCTACATCCCACGAGAGACTGTAGCCTAGTCCCCACGCATATCTCCCACCCCCTGAAATATTAGACTGTCCCGTGACCTGTGGATTTCCCCTGTTTGGGGTAAGATATTAATAAAGCACCAAATTGTTTTCATAATTTTCTTAATGCTTTCGAAACAGCTGGCTTTTCTTAAGCTTTTTTGTTTTCTAAATAACTCTCTTTCCTTGAACTTCTGAATGCTTTCTAATGTTTTCTGAACACTTAGCGATTCTTAATATTTTCTAAACGACTGGTTTTTCTTAATACTTGTTAATCAGCAACCTTTTCTTGATGAGTTCTAAACAACTGGATTTTTCTTAATGAGTTCTAAACAACTGGTTTTTCTTAATGAGTTCTAAACAACTGCTTTTTCTTAATGAGTTCTAAACAACTGGTTTTTCTTAATGAGTTCTAAACAACTGGTTTTTTTTTTTTAATGAGTTCTAAACAACTGGTTTTTTTTAATGAGTTCTAAACAACTGGGTTTTCTTAATGAGTTCTAAACAACTGGTTTTTCTTAATGAGTTCTAAACAACTGGTTTCTCTTAATGAGTTCTAAACAGGTTTTTCTTAATGAGTTCTAAACAACTGGTTTTTCTTAATGAGTTCTAAACAACTGGTTTTTGTTAATGAGTTCTAAACAACTGGTTTTTTTCTTAACAAGAAGAGGACAAGATTCAAGAAATTCAAATTAACCACAAAGACGTCATGCTGATTAATTTTAAGCTACTGTGGTAATCATGTGACTGAGTGTGATTGTCTTGCGGAAAGATGTATGGTCTAATATGACAATGTGATTTATAATTTGCATACTTCATTATATGTCAATTTAATTCTTCCAGATTGTTTGTTTTTGTTGCTTTGTGTCTTATTTTCTTCAAAGGGGGGCTATGTGGTCTCGAGGCATGGTGTCTGCCTCGAGTGCTAGAGGTTCTGGGTTCAATCCCCGGTAAGGGCTTGGATTTTTTCACATGGACTTGGACTTTAGTAATACCCCTGGTCTCTAGGTAGTGAGATCAGACACCTGTGTGCATTGTTGCTCATGTAAAAAATCCCTTGGCAGATGGAAATAAAAAAGAGTAGCCCAGGCAAAATTTAGAGTTAAAAATCTACCTAAAGTATTTCAGAATCCTCACTGGTGCTACAGAGCCTGTGCACTGTGCTGAGCTTCTTCGGAATTAGACTTGAGTTAGAAGGAAAACGGAGCACTTATGGGTTACTTCCCGTGTGCCAGTGATGTAGATCCGTTGTTCAAACCTCAGACCTCGTTCTTTCCTTCAGAGTAAGATAGTAGGCAGAGAAAGGGAGAATACTGCATGAGCAAAACATGATCTCTACAATACTGCCCAGGTTTTGTGCTGTGAAGAATGCCATGGGTCTTGCTGCATGAAAAAGAAGGAGGGGAGGGAATGGAATTAGGAAAGGAATAGGGACACAGGAGAGAAAAGGATTACTGACACATTGAAAGATTCCTTCCCTCAAAGTTGGAGTACGTCAGCCAGTGAGGCAGGGAACGGCAAACAAATAAACCAGTAAAATGGATGTACAAGCATAACTCAAGTCCAGGTTAAAGCCAAAAGTCCAAATGGACAAACTAGCACAACCTTCCGCCGGAATTCACAGCCTGTGAACACAAAGAAGAAGAAAAAGAAAGATTCTTGGTGTAGATTCCAGGGCCCCATTGTGGGGGAAAAAAAGAATATACCCACCACCTTCTCAATAAGTATGTTGTGGGGTTTCATTCGAAGTTGGAGTGTATCTGCCCAAGCGGCAAGAAACAAACAGCTGCAAACAAATAAACTTGTTGTACACACAAAACTCATTTCCTGGCAAAAAGCCAGAATCCACACGGACGAACCACCAGGACTTTCTACTAGAGCTTATTGCTGATGAACAAAGAAGAAGAAGACACTTTGAAAGTTAAGCATCTTAGAAAACTCATGTCAGATACATGGAACAACAACGGTCCAGAAATCTCCTGCACTGATTGTTAAAGATTATTGATATGAGATGGTCTTGCTGTCTCACTCACCAGGGTTGTGGATGATATTCAGCGCTGAGGGGAAAAAACATTGAAGTTTTAATCAGATTGTGACTAGCACTGATAACATAGGGTCAGCTTGTTGGCTTCTGCAACAATGAACCTCGAAAGCTTGAAATGTTTTTTTTTTTTTAAATATGAAAAAAAAAAGATTAGCTGTCTTTGGATCTTAGTCTTTTTCAAAACATCTGAAAACTAATTTTATCTGGTCAGATAATACAGAGTAGCATCTGGCTGAGTGGCTAGAATGCCAGGCTTTTATATGGAAAACCTGGGATCAAATCTTTAGCTTTCCTGAAGATTTCATGGCTACTGTGCTAGCCATGTGGCCCTAAATCTTCAGGCTGACACCCTCATTTCTACGCCATCCTAAAAAAGTGGTTCTAGAGTCAGTAAAGAGTTTTTTACCGAAGCTTTAACAATAAATATGAACTATCCCCCCTTGTGTAAACAGAAGGAGTTCATTGTAAGCTTGAAGTTACCCTGGTAAGCCATTTTACTATGGTTAACTTCTGGTGATTTGATGATCATTGTTTCGAGCAAGACTACTTGTATTTCAGTAGAATTAGTTCAATGTTTGTGCTTCATTTTTATGTTGTTGCAACTCCGTAGTGACACACCTAACGAGATGCAGCAAATCATCACTATCATATAGCAGGTCCTTTGCAGAACGTCATTTTTATCTTGGTACCTGCCCCTCCTTCCTGGTACCATGCCTTCTGCTATTATTTTTGTTCCGTTCGGCCATGACGCTTAATGTGACCAAAATTTCGGCTTCCGAGACAAGATGCTGTTTATTAGCCAATGTTCCTTGATGTTCAGATCTTTTAAAATGACATAATTTCTTCTCTTCCTTGTCAGTAGTATTCTGAGAATCTTTCTATAGCATTTCAGTTTGAAAGTGCATATTTTCTTTCTTAAGGACTTGGAGATAGTTCACGACTCACATCTGTATGTTGCTGTGAAAAGTGCCCTGTACTAAATTGTGCAACATATTGTTTGTGTTTGCATTTTTTTATTTCACTGCAGGAGGACAGTGTTTTGAATTAAATACAGTCGTCTCTTGCTTACTTAGGTCAGAGACAGATGAGTGCCTGTCCAGCACGACTCCGGTGGACGGCCCCAGAGTTGCTGACCCATCCTCGCTCAAAGGAGGGGGAGGGCAGTGTCATCACTCCCGCCTGTGATGTCTACTCATTCGGTTTGGTCATGTGGGAGATGGTCATGTGTAAGGACCCTTTTGACGAAGTTGTTCTAGAAACAGAGGTAATTTCTTGTTGTCATCACTGTCGTTACCATCACTTTATTGCCATTTATTGCCACATCTTTTCATTGTTCTTGGAATCATTTCATTGATATCTCATTTTTCATCACCGTCATTTCATTGTCGTAAGTGTCATTTTGTTGTCAGAAGTGTCATTTCATTGTCATAAGTGTCATTCCGTTGTCAGAAGTGTCATTTTGTTGTCATAAGTGTCATTTCATTGTCATAAGTGTCATTTCATTGTCAGAAGTAATTCACTCAGTGACCCGTAAAGTTTGACTTGCACCGATGTTTCTCTTGGCCAAAAGTTTTGCCTTGATATGTTGTATTTGGGACAGTCTTGGAGGACGTGATCTGTTGTCTCAGGTGCTAGTCCACATGTGTACATGGCTGATTCACCAATTTTAAATTGTTTGTACCCGTGGCTGCGAAGTCGATTGTGCCCTGTTCTAAGGCGTTGAATAATAACTTGCTCTGGTCTGTCCATAAAATGATAATTGTCTTGTGTCAGTTTTGGCGGCTTTCTGACTAATTTGATTATTCTCTTCTTTTGTTAAGAGACTGGTACGTCAGGTTGTTCTTCATTTGCTCCTTCCTTAGCTAGTTTATCAGCTCTTTTATTTCACCTCACTGATGTTTTTTGTCATCACCATCATGTTAATCATCAACTTTGTGGGCTCATTATTGTTTGTAATTGGGTTATTGGCTATGACAAGTGATTTTGGTCACAGGCGCGAGGGAAAGTCAAGGCCATCGTGATGAGGGTTACTCTGTACATGACCTCACCTTAGGCGCCAGTTGGCTCTGTGCTGGGTTTTACCGATCCTTGTGCAAGACTCCTGCCACATGTCCCTATCGTGCACCATGGATATGGCTCAGATAAGCATAAACTGAGCTGGCAGTTACTGCCTCCCCCCCCCCCCCCCCCCTTTTCCCTTTTTTCACCCCCAGAGATGAAGTGCCCAGAAATCCTCTGGCTCTCGTCAGCCCAATTTTTGAGTTAAGTCAAGAATTGACATCACAGCACTCTGGGCATTCCCATGTGTGCTCCGTCCTCGTCTTCAGCAGCCAGCGCAGAGTTCCAATACTCATGGTACCTGTCACAATCTGGTTATATGTCCGTCGTGCCTTTTCTCTGAGTGTAGTGAGCCGGCCAGACCCTCTGGTTACACCCAGGTGCCTCATTCTCTCCAGGCCATAATAATCTTGTTTCTCTACTGATTCCGTTGTTTGTTCCCAAAGGGCCTTGACCACATCTGCCTTGTCATATATCAATTCACCACTTAGTAGTGCAGATCTAGCCAATCTGTCTGCCTGTTTATTACCCACCACGCAGGCATGGTCTAGAGAAAAGTTCCAAAATATTCTCACTACCCGTGACCTTCCCAGTGTAGCTTGCCACTCTGCTTGAAGCATCCCTGTCTTCGCCTTTCTCAGCATGCCTTCAGAGTCTGTTACAATTACAACATGTTTATGCATCTTATTTTGTTTAAAATGATTGTCGAGTGAAAGAACTACTGAACTGTTGAGACTCAGCCCTATACCAAGAGGTTTGCTCAGAACTTAGACAAGTAACATCTCCTGTAAGCGGTATCTCATGGTACAGTCCTGCCTCGGTACATACTTTGTCAACGCTCAGTGGTGTCATCACTGCGTTGAGGCACACCAAGACAACCTGTCACTGTCAGTCAGCTGGTTAGGCTCAAAGGTCTGTCAGATGCATGTCTGTTTTGGCATAACAGCAAAGAAAAAAAAAAAAAAAAGTCCTACTTCTTGGCAGAAAGGTTCAGGTGCCCATTACCGTTGGCCCCATTTGCCAGAGAGTCTGGACCAAATAGGGAAGCCATGCTTGATGCATTCGTTTCCATACTGTCATGCTAAGCTCAACACTCAGCGAAAAGGCGAGATAAGTCAAACTGTTACTGGTGCCATGGGAATTGGAACTCTGCACTTGCTGCTGAAGATGGGGATGGAGCACTTATGGGAATGTCCCAAATGCTGTGATGTTGATTCTGAACAATTCAACATTTAACATTTGATTTCACTAGGTGATTTTACATTCACCTAAAAATCGTCATTAATTACCACTTCTGCCATTAAGCGTTGTGGGGAGGAACAATTTGCGATCCATAGCTTGATGGGCAGCAATGGCTATTGTCTTTCTATGTTGATGTAGAAACTCTTTAATGTCATCAATCCATCTTCTCCTAGAGCCGCCTCTTGCTTTCACTTCAGATCTGTTCCTGTGTAGCGCCTGCGTGGGTAGTTGTTCTGGCTGCATTCTTTCTAGATGACCAAACCATTCGATCTTCTGATTGTCAATCAATGTACTGCATTGTGTTGTTCCAAAAGTCAGTCTGATAATATCATTTCTGTAACTTTGTCTCGGATGGTTAACTCTTTGAGTCCCAAGGAACGCATCAAAAGTTCACAGGTTCCTACCTAGAAGCCCAATGAACGCATGATGCGCCGATTTTATGACTTTCTTCACTACCCCCTGGGCCTGGGATGCTAAACCCCCTGGGACTCAAAGAGTTAAGTTAGCAGCATCAAAAAATAGATCCCCAAAAACAGAACTGCATGCACAATGTGCTGCAACAAACATCCAACGTGAATGCAACGAAATTGTTGTATTATTTACAACATGCTCCCTGGCGGAGATGGACTTTTCTTCAAAAATGACCTTGACTTCCAGGTCGATCCAGCCTTGAGTGGGTACCGGGTGCAGTCCCGGGAAGTAGAGGCGGCCGGCGTGAATCTGAACACATCACCCTTGTGCCGTTGGTCTATAAAAATATAGGTCTAGCCCTATATGCCCTATACGCCTAAAGGCGTGGAAAGGGTCCTTTACTTTTTTACTTTACTATTTACACCATAAATCAGTTTTTTTACCCCTCTATTTTTTTTGAAAACCAGGTCATCAACATTGTCAGAAATGGCGGGCGGCCCGATGTGCCCTCTTCCGTGGACATGATGCCACAGTACCGAGATCTCATGAAGACTTGCTGGGACCAGCAGCCGATGCAGAGACCTCACTTTAAACAGGTCAGCCGACTCTTTGCTTGGGTTTTTTGTGTGTGGTTGCTACCTTTGTGTCTTTCTTTGCTGTAGTGTTATGTTTTGCTGTAGCAGAGGTCTCGAACCTCTTTTCAGGTCGCACTTCCCTTCCGTATATGGCAAAACGTCCCCTCCCTCCCCCCCGCGAATATACGGCAAGAACCCCGACCTTTTTGAAGATAGTGCAATACCCCTACACACACCCCTCCCCAACTTTAGGTATAATGCAAGACTCCTGCCACTCCCTCCTGCACCTGTGGGCACAGGTAAAAGGCATTCCACAAAAAATACACAGCTCACAGTGTTTCACCAAACACCTCATTTAGTAGCTTAGGCTACAAAACCATAGCCTCCAGTCCATATTTGGAACTGCTTTAGCATTCCATAGCCAGAAGCAAACAAAAAAACACTTTAAGGCTTTAATAGGCTGCCTGTCTATCCATTATAATTGGACAAGAAGTTAATCATATCCATATATAATTGATTATTCATTTTAGGTTGATTATTAGATTTTTCTGTTGCAAACTAGCTATTGTTAGTCATATCAGACCCTTCTGTTTATCAGTTGTTCCTCACATTTGACTGTTCTGTTTATCAGCTGTTGCCCACATTAGACTGTTCTGTTTATCAGCTGTTTCCCAGTTTATACTCTTTTTGTTTATCAGCAGTTTCCCACATTAGACTTTTTTTGTTTGTCAACAGTTTCTCACTTCAGACTGTTCTTTTATCAGCTGTTTCTCACATCAGACTTCTATTTATCAGCTGTTTCTCACATCAGACTTCTATTTATCAGCTGTTTCTCACATCACACTTTTCTGTTGATAAGCTGTTTCTCGCATCAATTGTTTCTGTTGATCAGCTCTTTCTCACATCAGACTGTTCTGTTTATTAGTTGCTTCTCACATTAGACTGTTCTGTTTATCAGTTGTTTCTCTGTTTATCAGATCACATTGCTCTATTTTTCAATTGTTTTCCACATCAGACTTGCCTGTTTATCATATGTATCTTCCACTTACTTTCCTATTTACAGATCACAGTCAAGGTAAAAGATTTGGAAGGGGCATCAAGATCTCACCAGAAACAGATGAATGCCAACAAACAACGACTGCAGAAGCTGCAGAACCAAGGCCTCGTCTAGACACACTTATGTCAACAGCTGCAGAACCAAGGCCTCGTCTAGACACACTTATGTCAACAGCTGCAGAACCAAGGCCTTGTCTAGACTCACTTATGTCAACAGCTGTAGAACTAAGGCCTTGTCTAGACTCACTTATGTCAACAGCTGTAGAACTAAGGCCTTGTCTAGACTCACTTATGTCAACAGCTGCAGAACCCAGGCATTATAACTAGACACACTTATAAAAAATCAACAGCTGCAGAACCAAGGCCTCGTCTAGACACACTTATGTCAACAGCTGTAGAACTAAGGCCTTGTCTAGACTCACTTATGTCAACAGCTGCAGAACCAAGGCCTTGTCTAGACTCACTTATGTCAACAGCTGCAGAACCAAGGCCTCATCTAGACTCACTTATGTCAACAGCTGTAGAATCAAGGCCTTGTCTAGACTCACTTATGTTAACAGCTGCAGAACCAAGGCCTCGTCTAGACACACTTATGTCAACAGCTGCAGAACCAAGGCCTTATCTAGACTCACTTATGTCAACAGCTGCAGAACCAAGGCCTTGTCTAGACTCACTTAAATCAGTTCCACAGCTGCAGCACCCAGCATTATAACTTAAACTTGACTTTAAAAAAAAGGAAAAAATACAGTTAGAAAGAGTGATGTTGAAAGAAACAGAAATAAAAACTTTGTATTGCCAGATTTGGTCTTTAGTAATCAACAGTGTTTACAAGAATCAAGAATATCCGGTGCTGTTTTAATTGGTAGATATCATTATCATCAGTTCTCATTGTGCCTAGTGGCACATGAGGCTTCAGAGAGGA